ATCCCCCCCCCAAAAAAAAATACCCACCAAACTGAGAAGTATCTTGAGGATAGAGGGAGTTAATATGAAAGTTCTGTGATCTAAGCCCTCATACATCAAGTTTGTAAATTTAAAAGCATTTCTTAGGCAATATGTTATCATTTGGACATGGATAACTTAGTAGAAAAAAGTGTTCTAAGGACTAAGGTTTGTATCTGGTATACTTTAGCATTTCTATCAATTAGATGAATGGGAGAATAATAATAAAATATTTCATTTACATAGTGCTTTAAGGTTTTCAAAACATTACATATGTTACCTCATTTGAATTATACAACTACCCTGTGAGGTACATGCTACTATTAGTCTCATTTTTACATATGAAGAAATGAAGACATAGAAAAGGCAATTGATTTGTTCAGTATCACATAACAAGTAGCTATCTGAGGCAAAATTTGAACTCAGTTCTTCCTGACTCCAACTCCAGCACTTTATCCACTGAGCCACCTAGCTGCCCTAAACTCTTTCTGCCCCTTTCTCCCTTTTTGTGTGAGTACTTTAGAGCCCACAAATGGGTAAAGAAACTCAACTCCCCATATTTCCACCTCTAAAACTATGATAGCCTAATACACAGTTGTAATAGGCATTCACCTAATTGGCATGAAGTAATATATACAGTATATACTTCCAGGACCATATTCTTATTCATAGAATAATAGACTCAGAGCTGGAAAGGACTATAGTAATCATCAAGCCACCCCATCATTTTGCAAATAAGGAAAGTGAGGCCTCAGAAGTAAATGACAAGGTCAAAATCACATGGGTTACTAAGAGATTGGATTTCAATAGTCTCTAAGCTTGCCCAGATCGGTTATACTTCCCTCATTAGCTTATATGAGTAGATAAAATTCCCATTAAGTTACAGACTGCTTTTTTTTTTTTTGCAGGGAGAGCATTAACTTATAGAAGTTCCCCCTTAAAACCAAAGCTCCCCAACTAGCATAGTGTCTTGCTCATAGCAGGCAGTCAATAAATATTTGTCAATTTGTATTAAATTAAAAGGAGTTGAATGTTAGATAATACATAAAAGATGATATATAAAGCCATTATCAGCTTTGAAGTGGAAGTACTTAAGAAATCAACCTTGAATTCCACCCCTGACAGGCAGACAGAGAAGATTTGGGTTTAACAAGTTCATGGCTGAAAGCTGGGTAACAGCAGCTTCTGTTTCTTCTGTAGTACAGAAAATTTTGTTACACAGAAGACCATTTCTGCATTCATGACTCGTTGTTGCAAACATTCCTACCTAACTGTGGCTGCTTATGTTCTACCCAGCTTTCCCTGAACCTCTCTTTAGGTAAAGAGGATGGATTGCGCCGCCTGCTCTCCTTTGGACTTCATCGTGCCCCTGACACCAACTCATCCAGGAAGGTCACTTTAGCCTCCAGACTCACACCTTGTCAGTATCATCCTTGGAACTCACAGCTCCTCAGTGCCCCCTGCTGGAGGTGCTAAGGAAGGGAGGCCTCCCTTTGACTGGAGATGGAAAGCTGAGAGCTCTTCCCAGAACCTCCATTTAAGGAGATTTCCCCCTCCCTAGTTACCTATCCCAACCATTCCAGCTTCCTTTTGTGTGTAGTCTTTCCTCATTAGACTGTAAGCTCCCATTGGGCAGGGAGTGTCTTTTTCCCTTTCTTTGTATCCTCCAGGCTGAGTATAGTGCCAGACATTTATTAGGCACTTAATAAATGTTTATTGGCTGTGCCATAGATCTATGAATGTAGGGCAGCACCAAAGAGGGCCTTACTAATGGCTCTAAATAGCAAGATACAGATGTCTACCTGCTAAAATAGTGTATTCCATATACATACATATATTCCACCAATGAGATTCACTTGGTTCAGGAATTTCATCTTTTAAAATGCAATTGCCTCATTGGAAAAGTTAAGCCTCACTCACACATAATGTAAAATACCATTTTTAATAATCAGATCAATACCTAGATGAGTTAGATAAATACAAATCAACTCTGAATGAAGTAAGGAGGGGAAATTTTAGGGTGGGAATTGTGGGCCTGAGTAGTGACTTTAGAGCCAAAAGGCAGCAGGAAGAAATCAAGTTTTGGGGATAAGGTAGTAATGATGTATGTAGTTCTTTCTTCACTTTAAAGTTTATATGAATATCAACTAGTATAATAGTTTACATTATTAACAAGTTTAAGGTTTATTAGCAAAGCATAGTCAATTTGATGAATTTAAAAGAATGAGGCCATTGTATGGGATAATAAGTCCATTGTTCTAGACTGATCCAATCCAATCATTTCCAAAAATAAGACTTACTCAGTGAGGTGTGAATCTATAATTACTTAGGTTTACATTAATTAACATCTACTCAGTCATCTCAATAAGGCATAAATGAATATGTTCACACCTTCCAAAGCAAATCAAAATCAAAATCTTCACACCACCCACTTAATCACTCTACCCAGAACTTTTCCCCTATCCTGGAATTCAGAGTCCTCCAAACATAATCAAAATCTCAAAGGCCTCATTATTTTAGCTTCAAGATTCAGTTCATGGGCCACCTACTGAAAAAAGCCTCTCTTTTTCCCATTCACCCCCTTCTCTGTCCCCCAATTTACTTTCTCAATGAGGCAACTGCATTTTCAAAGATGATATTCCTGAACCAAGTGAATCTCATTGGTGGAAAATATATATGTATATAGAATATACTATTTTAGCAGGTAGACATCTGTTTCTTGCTATTTAGAGTCATTAGTAAGGCCCTCTTTGGTGCTGCCCTACATTCTCAAATCTATGGGACTGCCAATAAACATTTATTAACATTTATTAGCATTAATTAACATTGATTAGTTTTGCATATACACATGTGTATATATGTATATGTATGTGTGTGTGTGTGTGTGTGTGTGTGTGTACGTGTGTGTACGTGCACGTGTTTTATTTCCCCAATTAGAATGTAATCTCCTTAGGAGTAGAAGCTCTCACTTTTGTCACGTCCCCCCAAGCTTAGCTCATGCCTAGTGCATAGTAAGCACTTAATAAATGCATCAGTTCTATGGATTTGTCTACCCAGGGAATTTTCAGAACATACCTCCTTCAAATACTAAGGATGTACTGTGTTGAAATTTATTATAGAATTCTTGGACAAAGAGGGAATGGGCTTAATTAAAGGACTGCAAAAGGTTAAATATAACATAGTACTTTCTCATAATAAGGACTGTTAAATTTTGAAATAGGCTGCTAGGAGAGGCTACACAATGTCCTTCCTAAAAGTCTTTAAACATAACATAGACTTACTACTATTCATTAAAATGAATTAGTCTAGAACCTATCCAGAGGTCAGAAGCCCTTTCAAGGTCCCTTCAGACCTATAAATCCTGTGTGCTTATAATAGACTGAAGGTCTGAATATTTCATAGACACCTTCAGAAATATACCCTTAAGATTCTGAATCTTATAATCATGGAAATTGCAGCAGACAAAGCATTTTGAAGTCTTTAGTTACCTTTGAGAAATAAAACTCCTCGAGATTCCCTCATAGTTTTGAGTGCCTTGCCCTGAAGATACTCAACCTTCATATTGCTCAGGGATTCCTGTTATGGTTTACCTTCCCATTTGGAAAGGGGAGAAGCAGGGAACAGCATTTATTAAGCCCTACTACATGCCAGGAATTGGACTAAGGCTTTTATAAATATTATCTCATTTATCAAGTTGGATTTGATTCAGTAACCTATTGTCCCAGACCTATGACCTATTTACTCTCTCAGATTGGCTTCTACAGTTATTCTCTACATATCTCATAATGTCTCCCCAAATTAGCATGGTACTTGGAACTTAGTAAGTGCTTAATATATGCTTGCTGACTGACTAATTAATCCCAATTCCCATCCCCCACCACTCCTCAAAACTTTCCTATTTTCCTATAATCCAGCAAACAAAATATATAGTAAGGCATAATGGCAGCACCTCCTGGATTATATTTTTAAATGAGCCTTTATTGCCTTTACCCAGAGGAGTGGGGAAAGAGCCTTCTAAAACCTTAAAGAGCTTTATACTTATATTATTAGTTGTAATACATAGTAGTATGCTGTCAAACACTTTTGGGCAGGACTCCGTTGGTTCCTTCCCCTCAATTCCAACCACGTAGGTGGCTGCTTGTTCTGCTCACACATAGGAGAGTATTAATCTTTTCTAGCAGATTTGAATTTCGTGGAAACTATAAAAGCTGTCGAATAACATTCGGCATTGTAGGATTTGTCATTAGACGAGTGAGTTCAGAAATCTGTTGCAATTTCCTGCTTTACTCCCAAGTCATGTAAGGTGAGTAGAGTGTTTGTTCTAACAAGGTGAAACACTGAATAAAGTGAGTGCTGCCTTGCTGCTTAATGAACTACGTTTGATTAGCTAATTAACCTCACAGAGCATTTTGCAAAAACAACAAAAATCTTATTTAGCGCCACTGAAAAAGACGGTGAGAGAGAAAGAGAGCTTCTGGCTATGTTGTATAGGAAAAAAAAACAAACACCTATCTTACAATTATTTCAAAATCAGCTGTGTGTGTGAATCATATTGTGGTTGGTACAAAGATCAAAAATCGATACTAAAATAGAGTATAGGATGCATGGGGGGGAAGGGGGGGAGAAAAAGGGAGAAACTGTAGCTTAGCCCCAGAGGGTAGCCCTCCCAGGAATATATGCACACACACACACACCCCCCACCAGCAACTGCGCAGGCCCAGAACACAATTTCTCTGAAAGGTCCCCCCTCCCAAAGGGGGCGGGGTCTCACGTCCCAGCGCCTGTTGAGCCGGGAGGCGGGGAGAAGAGCGAAACGGTAGTGACGTCACGGGGCTGGCGCCTCAGCGTGCCCCGCCTTGGTTATCTTCCAGAGCAAAGCAGAGGAGAGGTAGAAGGGGCCTGCAAGGGTGAGAGGCGGAGGTTGTCTGCTGCAGCAGCTTCCCCACGCCCATCCCCGCCAACACCTCCCCAGACTGGCCGCCATGCCTCTCCCCGCAGCCCTCCAGTCCCGCCTGGCCAAACGAGGGCTCCTCAAGCTCGTGGATCCCGAGCCAGAGGAAGAAGTCATCGCCGAAGACTATGACGACGACCCCGTGGACTACGAGGCCACTCGCCTCGAAGGCCTGCCCCCCAACTGGTACAAAGTCTTAGACCCGGCATGCGGCCTTCCCTACTACTGGAACGTGGAGACGGACCTCGTGTCCTGGCTCAACCCCCACGACCCCAGCTCGGTCATCACCAAGGCGGCCAAGAAGCTCAAGGGCGGCTTGGAGCCCGAAGAGAAGATGGACCGCGGCCACGATAGGCCGGAGCGCGGAGGCTACGACAAGGCGGAGCACCGGTACGAGAAGCCAGAGCGGTACGAGAAGCCGGAGCGGGACGAGGCCAAGGAGTGGCGCTGCCACCGCCGGGAGGAGCTGGCCCCCTACCCTAAGAGCAAGCGAGCCAGCCGCAAGGAGGAAGAGCTGGATCCCATGGACCCCAGCACCTACTCGGATGCCCCCCGGGGCACTTGGTCCACGGGCCTCCCCAAGAAGAACGAGGCCAAGACGGGCGCCGACACCACGGCGGCCGGCCCCCTGTACCAGCAGCGGCCGTACCCGTCCCCGGGAGCAGTGCTTCGGGCCAACGCCGAGGCTTCCCGGACCAAGCAGCAGGAGTGAGCCCGCCGGTCGGCCAGCCCCAACCTCCCCAGGAGCCACCGCCTTGGTTTTTGTAATAAACAAAAACTTTTGAGGGGAAGAAAAGAGGGTGGGTGCTGGGAGGTGGGGTGGGGAGAGGTAAGAAAAAGAAAAGAAGACCACAGGATGTGCAGGTACAGCAGCACCAGCCTGACCCGTTTAAAGAGTGAAGACGCTCCCGCAGAGTGGGAGATGGGACAAAATACTGGCTATGACTGTAGGCATTGTTTGGAGGTTTGCCAGTGCAGACTAATACACACAGGAGGAAAGACAGTTTTTGTGGCATTCAAGGGTAGCTTTTAAAATATTTCAGAAAGGAATCCTAAGCTTTAAAGATGGAAGGAACTATGGACTTAATCTGAAGATTTCTTAGCCAAGGGCTTCTTGGACGAAACTGCCTGGAGAGAAGAAAACAATTTCTTTGACCAAGCCTGCTAGTGCACTCTACTGAATGCTTGGGCCCAGTAGCAGCAAGAGACAAAGCCTATCACAAACCCAAACCTTGCTCTTTATTATCTTTATATCCTTTTTCTGCCATGTACTGGCTCAGAAGTACTTGTGCACAAGTGTACATGGGCCATATTCTAATTTTTGAGACACCTGGAGGGGGAACAAAAACCAAATAGTAATTTGTAACCTGCATCCAAGATTCAACCCAGTCTTTGTAAAACCAAAGTTATGGGGTCTGAATCTTGGATTTATAGTTATTACAACAACAGGACACATGAATGGGGTTTTTATTTTCCAAAGAACTTTCACATTTAATGGTCAGTCTAGTTGTCAGTGCTCTCTTTTCAAATTATCAAATATTGTGAACTTACCTTGTTTGACTTTTGTATCCACCAGTAGAATTTAAGGTTCTTGAGGGCAGGAACTATTTTTTTTCTGTGTATTTTCATTGCCTAACTTAGTGCCTTAAGCTTAGTAGGCATATAATAAATGTTTGTTGAATGTAATAGTCTAAATCCTTCTGTTTACAGATAATTAAACTTGTAGGGGGAGAAAGACTCAAACTACAAATTAACAACTGAAATAGTTTCTCTCGTAAAATATTTATGAGCATCATTCATTGAGTGTATTGATGAAAATAGGAGAAGGGGACAGGCTTTTATGAAGAATTTTCTATAATAAACCACATCTTTACAGTCACATAATTGATTGAAAGATGGGAAGAATATATGATCTGCTGGGGCTACTCTTTATATGCCAGAAGGGGGGCGGTGGTAAATCACATCTTTGAATAGAAGGAAAAAAAAACAGCTTTAAAGGTACTATTTTAAGTGTCTTTCTAATTATTTGTTAAGATTGTGGTATAGAATTCAATAAGTGATCATATAAATATGTTGATTTTAAGCATCAACACAATATGCACATGAAACAAGGCATAGAACAGAAAAACGTGCTTACCAAAAAATGTTTTCCAGTGTCCTAGAATAGTATGCACAAAATTCAAATACCTGAACATTATTCCCAAAAGACAAAAAGTTCTCCACGTGGGCTTACTTGTAGATAGCATTGAGATTGCAACAAGGCTCAGAACACTGCAAAGCCCAAATAATTCTATGGTTCCACAAAATAAATTGTCCTAGAGACATTCAGGAAGAATAAAGTGAATTTTTTTAAAAGGGGGAGGTGGGGAGAGAAGAGGGAACAAAAGTTGCAAGGTTGGGGAGTTAAGATGTAAGAGACTTAGAGTAGTGGGTGATGAACTCTCACTAAGTCCATGGCAAATAGTAATAACTAGTCTCAGAGTTAGGGCTGTGGGAGAACCAGATTAAAACAGTGGAAGAAAGGGACTGGAATCAAAGAAGTAGAAAGGGAGTTCTCCCCCAAGAAAGAAAAGGATGCCACTAAAGAATATTCCAGTGAGGTGGAAGGGAAGCATGTGTCTAGTAAGAAATGAGAATTTCTTCAGAGGTGTGAAGTCATGGATTTCATTTGGGAGTTGTTTGGATATTAGGGAACTACATTTTCAGAAATGGTTGCACCTCCCAAGGGTACATCCTACTTCCAGGAAAAGGGATGTATGAATATCAAGGCCAGCAAGACCCAGTGTATGCTGAATAGCAGCAGAGAAAGCATAACATGACCTTTCCACTATCAGAGTACAAATTCATGGCAGGTGTAGGACTACACGGTGCAGGATTTCATATGACAAAGTTTCATGAATTGTTATACCTTGGGCAAGAAACAACAGAAATAGGAAGAATCGGGGTAAGATCTACAAAGGCAATAAGAAATGAATAGAAAAGGGAGCTAAAAGTTGGTATGCAAGAAGCTTTACCTTCATGAGGGGCACAATTTAGAATAAATAGGCTGTGAATCCAAAAATAAACTTCCAAGTACACAAGAAGGGAAGAAGGACAAAGCAATGAAAAACTTGGAAAAGTGCATAGTGAACAAATGTTACTTCACTGCACAAGGAAAAAGAGTCAAAAGGAAATAGATGAATAAAAATATAGATAGACAAACTAACACCTGCAAAGTAGATAAATTAGGTAAATTCAAAGAACATGTGTGATAGGTAAATGGAAGGGAATACTTGTGACAATAAACTTAACAGCAAAGTAGTCTGAATAAAATGAATATAGGGATGGGATATTTGAGACTTTAAAAAGGAAAGGGATAAAAAAATATCAAAAATAAATGGGAGAGGATTCTGGGAAGATGGTGGAGTAGGTTAAAAATTCCCAAGCTCTCAAGATTTTCCCCCACAAAACAGAGTGCTGGTAAAAATAAGAATAAGGGAACCATAGGGGTCCTTCTGGGACAATTTGAGAATATCTGAAGGAAAATGCTGGATGAGGTTTGGTCCCTGTAAAGAGTAAACACCTCCAGGTAAGGGTCTGTTTAAACAAGAGGCAAACCCAGGGGTTAGCTGGGTTGGGAAGGCTGCCTCAGCCCCAGCCACAGGAACTTTTCCCCCTCTTCCTCCACCCCCACCCTGGACTGTGAGGGGATTTGGGCATCTGAGCTGGGGAAGATCGAGGGAATCTCTGCTGACAATGCCAGACCCAGCTGTGCTGCTGAGAGGGGTGAGAAGGAACCAGCACGTGGCAGATGAGTATTTAAGTAGTGGGGCAGGACATCCCTGGCAGTAGGCACTTACTGGAGGCTGGAGGTTTGGCTTTGGTTCCAGACTAGAGGGGAGAAGTGAAGATGTGAGGCCAGAGGCACCATCCCCCATACCCTAGAACTAGAGGTGATTACAAAAATTAAGCTATTACTACAAAAAAATGCACACAAGCAGAGGAGAAAGAATCCAACCATAGAAAGTTATTATAGCAATAGAGAAGACCGGGGTTCATCTTCAGAGACAGATATTGAAGCAAAGAAACCCTCTTCTACCCACAAAGAGTAATGCAAATGGTCACCTGCCCAAAAAGAATACATATACAAACTTAAAAGAAAAAAACAAAAAGACTTTAAAAATCAAATGAAATTGAGGAAAAACAAAAAAAAAAAACAAGATTATGAAAAGAAAGTCAACCAATTAGAAAAGGAAATCAAAAATCTTAAGGAAGAAAATGACATTTTGAAAATTAGAATTGGGCAAGGGGAAGCCATCAAAGTTATAAGAGATCAAGAAATAATAAAACAATATAAAGAATGAAAAAATGAAAGAGAAAGTGAAACATCTTATAAGAAAAACAACTGATCCCGAGAACAGACCAAGAAGAGAAAACATAAGAAAAATTGGACTACCTGCAAGCTATGGTCAAAAGAAGAATCTTGATACAATAATACAAGAAATAATTAAAGACAATTGTCCTGATGCATTAGAATAAGGGGGAGAATAGAAAATTTAAAAAAATAGAAGAAAATAAAAATAAATAAATAATAGAAAAAAATCCATTGATCACTTCTTGAAAAAAATCCAATGATGAAAACCCATAGGAATGTTATAGTCAAATTCCCAAACCCCCAGCTCAAGGATAAAATATTAAGAACAACAAGAAAAAAAATAATTTAAATATGACAGTGCCACAATAAGAATCATACAAGACCTAGCAGCAGTGACTTAAAGGACCATAGGTCTTGGAACACTATGTATCGAAAAGCAAAAGAACTGAGGTTCTAGCTGAAAATATCATACCCAGAAAAATTAAGCATAACCCTGAATGAAAAAAAAATGGACATTTGATCAACTGTCAGACTTCCAGGATTTTGTTTAAAAAAAAAAAGCAGCAAAAATTGAACAATAAAAGATTTGACATACAAGAGCCAAGAGGAACATAAGATACATACCAAAAATTGATTCCAAGGGATTCAATAACAGACTGTTTACCTTTTATGTATGTCTAAGATTGTCATTAACAATTGGGAAGTTTCTAATAAAGATTGGGGTAGACCTGAGTATGATATGACTTTAAAAAGTAAAACCATCTAGGAACAGTTAAAAAGAGCAATTATCTTATACAAATGAGGTGTGAGAGGAAGAACTACACAAAGGAATTAGATGGGGGAGGAGGGTTGGTAGTTCTGGTAACCTACTTTCATTGGGAATGGATTCAAGAAGGAACAATACATATATATCTAGAAGAGTATAAAAGTCTAAATTCAGAAGAAATAAAATGGTAAGGGAATAGGGAGGGGGAAAGGATAAGGAAGGGATCTCTAGAGGGGAGGGTGAGGGAATAAGTTAAAAGGGGGTTGTAGAAGGGTGTTGAAATCAATGAGAATGTGAGGATAAGGGAGGAATCTTTAGAGGGAAGGGTGAACGAATAAGTTAAAGGGGGTTATAGAAGGGTGTTTAGATTTATGGGAATGAGAGAATAGGGGAAGGATCTTTGAGGGGGGGGAAGGTGTAGGCCAAGTAATGGGAGGGCAAGGTAGTGGGTAGAAGTAAGGTAGAAGTAGGGGAGTTAGAAGGAATAGGAAATAAGAGATATGCATAAACATAAAAACAAAGATCAGGTGTAGAATTTGTTAGGGAAAGTGTATGTCTGTACATATGTATGTATTTATATATGGATGTGTGT